CAGCTTTACATAGTTTTGAAGAACAAACTAGCAGTTCTATTTACAGAGGCCAAGGACAGTAATTATTGTAAGGAGAATGGGGCAGCCATTTCAACTTATCTAAAAACAGTTTTGCATTTTATAAAATAGTTTTGCTCCGGTTCTGGTTCTAGGCCAGCACAATATCACATTAGCATTGTTTTTTCTAGTTCTGTCTGTAGAATGATTGTGATATTTTGATGAGAACTGCATTGAATTTGTAGATTGCTTTTGACAGTATGGTCATTTTCACAATATTGATTCTCCCCATCTATGAGCATGGGATGTGTTTCCATTTGTCTGTGTCATTTGTAATTTCATGCAGCAGTGTTTTGTAGTTTTCCATATAAAGGTCTTTTACCTTCTTGGTTAAGTGCATTCCTAAGTATTTTATTTTTTTTGCAGCTATTATAAAACGGGTTGAGTTCTTGATTTGATTCTCAGCTTGTTTGTTCTTGGCGTATAGCAGGGCTACTGACTTGTGTACATTAATTTTGTATCCTGAAATTGCTGAAATCGTTTACCAGTTCTAGGCGCTTTGGGGATGAATCTTTAGGGTTTTCTAGGTATACAATTACGTCAGCAGCAACAGCAACAGTGTGACTTCCTTTTTACTGATTTGGATGTGCCTCCCCCTCCTTTTTTTTTTTTTTGAGATGGAGTCTTGCTCTGTTGCCTAGGCTGGAGTGTAGTGGCACAATCTCAGCTCACTGCAACCTCCACCTCCTGGGTTCAAGCGATTCTTCTGCATCAGCCTCCCGAGGAGCTAATCTTTGTAATTTTAGTAGAGATTGTAATTTTACCATATTGGCCAGGCTGGTCTCGAACTCCTGACCTCATGATCTGCCTGCCTCGGCCTCCTAAACTGCTGAGATTACAGGCGTGAGCCACCATGCCTACCTGGATGTCATTTCTTTCTTTCTCTTGTCTGATTGCTCTGGCTAGGGAAAAGTACAGATTTAATTCTCTTACCATCCTTACCTCCGATACACATTACTCACACATACATACTTTTTATTTGTTCCTCAAGATATAATTATATCACATTTTAATTTCTTATAAATGGCTACTTAATTCTTTCTTAATTGCTAATTATTACTGTCTTAAATGTTTCAATACATTAAAATACTTAAGATGTTTTGTCAATTTCATAATTTTCCTGGATATATGCTTTCATGATGCTACATGTATTCTTTGATACAGAGATCCCACATTTGCACCCATTTCAAATCACCCTACACCTAAGCTCTGCATGATTATTTCAGTCATCCTTACACCTATTAGCACCTTTGTAGTGTGAATATTCTTGGCATTTCTGATAGATGTAATTATCATTCCATTACAGGGTGACCTTTAATCCACCCTGTGCATGCATGTTTCTGAAACTATAAGTCAGGCTTATTTTAATGACTTCTATTCTCTTCCCCAGCTCTACCTCTGCAGGCCCCATCCCTTCCCAGAAAGAAGAGGAAATGACTGAGTCCCAGGTAAATATTAAATAGTATATTTGTTTCTTGCCTTATTCGCCGTTGTAATTTAAGGGGATTGCAGTAATTCATACAGTAAATTATAAAGGCCTATATACATAAAACATATTTTCAGGGGAAACAGAGTTGAATGATTAAAACTAGGGAAGAGTTAAAATGTGGTTATTTTATGAAATTCATTCAGAGAGATTAAAGCTGGTCTTCACCATAGCAAAAATTTGTTACAAAATTTTCATTGTATGTAACAATAAAAAAATTAACATTTTCTAACAGAAATAAGCTTTTCATTGATACCTAGGTCAATGAAAACATTTTAGTGTTACTTCTTATAGTTGATAAACGTAGCTTTTTTTTTTATTTTTTTTTTTATTCTTAAATATGGTTTAATACTCTTCTCCATTTCTGTACATCACAACACCAAGATTTTGCTGCTTAGGATCTCTCTGCAGAGGCTATAGAGAATGCAAAGGCTACGGTTTTCACCCCCTCTTATTTGTGTTTGTATGTGTAAGTGTAATACATATCAATATATATTGATACACACATCAATATATAATGCAATATATATCACCGAAGAGAACACATTGATTAAAGAAATACAAAAATTTGGCATCATTTCCAAACTTAAATAGTAAAAATAAAAACTACAAAAGGAGCTGCATACCCTAAATGTATCATGTGAACGTAGCTTTTTTGATGTTCTCTTTTGATCAAAGATAAAACAAAGTGTAACTATCACAGTAGCCCAGCCGTTAGAAAGAATGCAAACGAACATTAAAAGAAAAAGGAGGGCGGGGCGCGGTGGCTCAAGCCTGTAATCCCAGCACTGTGGGAGGCCAAGGCGGGTGGATCACGAGGTCAAGAGATCAAGACCATCCTGGTCAACATGGTGAAACCCCGTCTCTACTAAA